TACATCTGTATTGTCTTTGATTTAAAAAACAGTTTATTCCCACTTTTATAATTCTTGGCCGTTGTAGTACTACAGATACTTTACATTGTTTTTGCCTCTGCTACTGAATTACCTTCGGCCTCTCTTTTGGTCAGCCAAATCCTTTTTTTGATGCCCCTGTGGCTCACTGTACTCTTTCTCTATTTTTTATTAATTTTAGGCACTCTTATTAAGTCTGTTAAACTTCACTTCTGACTCTCTCTTAATTTCTACATTTACGTTAAATTTTGTTAGATATGGACTGAATTCTTTTAGGGACGAATTAGTTTTAACATATGTTTTTTTAATTATAACCATCTTTTTTCTGTTGGCCTTGAATCCATCTTTTCCCTTTTCATCACTCATAAACTCAACCTCATTTCTCAGTGATCCCATCATGTCCATTCCCTTAATTCCGTTCACATTGTGTGAAAAGATCAGGTCAATAAGAGCACTTTCCATAGTTTGTGCCTTTGTAATCTGAGTTAAGAAGCATTTATTAACCTTTCTGACCATGTCAATACGAGCCCCGGTTTATGCTTGAAAACGTCCAGTAATCTAACCTTTGGCCTTTCCTGTATACTGTTCTGATCTCATCACACAGAAATCTACAGAACTCGCGCCAGTGCCTGTATGAGGAGGTCTATTGCATGCACTCGGTGTTGAGCACTTAGAATTTCTGTTTTCCAGTTTTACTTATACAGATTCTAAACTGCCTGTATCTTCTTGCTTCAGTTGTCCAGCTTGTGGGAGATTTCTGATGCACAGTCATACACCACCACCTCTTCTATCCTGCTTGTCTTTCCGTATCTACCAGTTAATTTTATATTTATCCCTGTCATCCTACCCTGTCTGTGCTGTAGATAACTGTTGTAACAGTCATACCTACAGTATGTGATAGTCACCTGTTAATGCTTTAGCTTTGCGTTCTTGCATGTTATTCCTTCAGACAAGATATTGTTGATAAAATACAGGATGATAATGATCCATGTCATTCTGGAGTGCATAATATTACCCAGCTGTATGTGCATAAGAGACGCTTTTGCTTTGATGACAAATGGCGTGTCACTTGCGAAATGACGGAAATGGTTAGGTGTTTGCTTGCAAGAAGTCTGAGGTGCCTCTACAGAGTGCGCAAGAAGGGTTACTTTTTCCACTGCTTTCTTGATAGAGAGAGTGGGAGCAGAGTTCGGTCGGTTTCCCAGCAGCCAGCAAGACATGATTAATAATATGGGGGTGGGGAGGAAGCTCAGCTCCATTGATCATAATATTATTAGACTAGTTATTAGAGGGAGGAATCAAACCGCAGCAAAGCAAACAGGCGAACACAGGAGGATACTCAAGAACGTTTTATTCACTGCTTCAGCCGGAACCGCTGCACTTCAACATATCCTTCCAAAAGAAGCACATTGTAGGACAAAAGCACATATGAAATGCAGGGACTGATGCGTGAGGAAGAGTGCTGATTTGCTGTGGACGTTCAGCATGTGCGTGTTTGTGTTGGGTGGTAATTTATTGTCACTTATCTGATATTTCTGCTTTTGTTTTGTGGGGGAAAAAAAGCAGGTCAAGCTTAAGATACAAACCGAGGAGACATCTTCTGTACAAATTCTAAACGTTTAAAAGAATTATAATTTATCTGCTATAATTTAAAGCTTACATACTGTATAAGTGCTGAAAACCAAAGTCCCTTTCTTTAAAAATAAAAATAACAGGACACTTCACTTCAGTAACGTTGACAATTGCCTACTGTACCATGGTATTCCGAAATCAGATTCATTATGCGGCTTATTTTTTTCACTGCTTTCCTTAAAATGTGTCTTATCATTCATTCATCATGCTCAAAGCGGCTCGTCAGTGTTGCATCGAGTCATAGAGGGAAAACACAGGCAACAAGGGGCACATGAATTAATTCTAAAAGTACAAAGAATTCTTAGATGGGATTCTTTTTGTGTATTTCTTCTTAATCAGGTTTCAAGGGGGGGTCGCTTTTTGAAGAATCTTTTGATTCCATGATCAAAGAACTTCATTGCAACTGTATCCAGTAGCCTGTCATCATAAAGAATGGTTCTTATTTTAAATCAACAGACATAGTTGTGTTGCACTTTGCAGGCAGTGGCTATTTGTATCTTTCTGTATTTTATTAACTTGATTACCTTACACAGTCATGGTGAAAAGATTTATTTTGCTACTTAAATACAAGGCCAGCATTGAGCACTTTATTGCATTTTGAAATATCATTTTTGAAAAATGTTCCAGTATTTTGAATAAAGGTTGGCAGATAAGTTTGTATGAACAACATACACAGATTTAGTGAGTAGAAAAAGTGTGAAACCTTACTTCAGAGCTCAGAAAATAAGGATTTTTTCAATTTTCCATTTACTCACTGAATCAACTCCAACAGTTATTTTTTGTTAATGGGTTTTAGTTAATTTTGGTTTTTGTTTTGGGTGAAAATTAAAATATTTCTCATTGTGTTTTGATTTAACAGAATGTGCACATCATTTTAATCTGTCGTAAGGTTCTGTAAGCATTTTAGAACTTAATGAAACAATCTATGCATATTGTATTCAAGCGGAAGTCAAGCGGACAAGAAGATAATATTATTATTTATTATTTTGTATCAAATTTTCGTTTTAATTGCTGTCTATATAACATTATTATTGTATATGTAGGTAAAGGAATTATGTCTTGTAAAGTATGCTCAGATGCTGATGGGTTTGTTAAATTACACAGCAGTGTTTCTGCTCCAGTTCAATATATTAAAATGTATATGGTAATGATTATTAGCATATTGAATATACCTCTAAAAACAAATTCTCCCATTCCATTTCATAGAACACAGAGAATGTCTTATTTCATATCTGTTATAACAAGTGTTGAACAGGGAATTTTAATGGAGTCTAATTGTCTAGCATACGATGCCACCATATAATGTCTTAAAATTTCATAGAATTAAAAGTACAATCAATGATGAATATTACTCTGGTCCATAAAGTACAACAAGACACAGAATGTCTTTAAGAAAGTTGAAAAACAACAAATGTACACAGCTGGATTTAAAAGTTTTAAAATGTGTTAGAGAAGTACAGTAGCACAAAGCACTTGAATTCAGAAGTGGTAAAATATCTCAACACTGACTGTAAACTGCTGTGCTCTAGTTTTTCCTAAGCATTTTCAGCCAATCATAGGATTTTCTCTTCTTCTGATGGATTATTGACCCAGCCAGTGTTTTCCCTGACTGCAGTTAATGTTGTTTCCAATTTGATTATTTCAACTAAATTTGCTCACAGGGTGCTGAAGAACTTCAAAAGGCCTGCAGTATTTTGAAAGCTGTCGCCGAACTTGTTTTGCTTTAATCGGGAAGACTTTGATCCCTTATTAATACAGCACTGTCTCCATGGTCTGGCTGTTTCTCTCTGCACCTGTATCAATAGCATTAGGGCTCACCATCAAGCTATGTACTTAAGACACACCGTTCTACAACCTCCTGAGGTTAAAGGGTGGTTAAAATGATTTGAAAGCTGCATTTTACTAAATAGCCAAAGAGCAACAGTAATATTACATCTAAAGCATTTGTGGCAATGAGTTTCTGTTTTCTTCCTAGTTCAAATGAATTATGTGACATAATACCTAAGATATTCTGTTACAGCAATTGGATATTTCAAGTTAAGCAATAAAAATGTTACTTATGTGTACTGTATATACTGTTTAATAGAGTATATCACAATTAAATCATACTGAAATTCATGATGTTAAAGAAGCTTGGCATATTGTTTGACTACGTGTTTCTTACATTTTTTAAATTAATTGTGAATAAGTGCTTAATTAGCATGCAGAAGAACAGCATAGACACAATTCAAGTAATCTATATAAAGACAAAGCAAGGGCAATGCCTTTCTACAGTTTCACATCAGTGCACTGCAGCCCCAGAATCTGCAGAGATACTTGCTCTATTACAGACATACTCAAGTACATACAAATACATCTTACTGACATACAGTACATACTGTAGTACTGTGTACAAAATAACAGAAGTCAATAGGTTCCACATAAAAACTGGGTCTGTGTGTAAATCAGATATTTCTGAGAATTTCAAGGATTTTGCAATCATTGTTATACACTACTTCTTGGGAAAACACACTATAGTTAATTTTGGTTCTTAGTTCTTTCAGTTAAATTTAAATGCAAAACACTTTTTTTCTTTTACTTTTTTAAAGGTAACTGCAGAGATATGTGATGAATCACCTATTAATAAACATCAATAAAGCTTCAATAAAAAGTCTACAAAAATAATTTATTTACTTGAAACAGTGAAACAAGACTTTCACTGTGAGCAATTGTTTTTTTATCAAAGCAAAACTGGATTTGATCTTATAAAAGAAACGTGTTTACTAGCTTACAATGCTTTCTTTTTTGCATTTAGTAGCTGGTTTTCATCTACAAATCCCACGGACGCACATTGTTGTATGCTGAAGGAAGTATCTGTATCATGTACAATTTGATCATGTTCTTTAAAAGTGACAGAAATCATTGTCGAGAGAGATGATAGGAAGTTCTTTTGTGAAGGTGCTATTATATAAGATTTAATAATATAAGAAAGCATTCATATGAGAAGATGGCATTCAGCCCATATAGCCTGTCTGATACTGTACTGTACATAGTAGCAAATTGGTCTCAAGATCTCATCCAGTTTCTTGAAAGAAGCTAGGGTATCAGCTTCAACTACATAGCTGGGTACTCCCACCTTTCTTTGGTTAATGCCTCCTATTCCCGGTTTTAAATATGCTTTTACATATTTTCCGCTTGTGTCCTCTGGTTCGTGTTGCAGTCGAAACTGCTGATAAACATGACAGATCTCACAGAGGTGTTTGTAACTTGATAAACGTGGCCATGATGGTCTGGTTTTGGAACTTCCCATGTTTCATTATCAAGAGCAGGGCTCTGAGTTCCTCCTGTGTGTTTTTGCCAACACCTCTCAGGGTTCAGCTGATTCCTACACTAGCAGACCATCTGATTCCGATGTCTCTCTGGAGGAGGACAGGGAAGGAGTCCGGCAGGAACGAGAGCAGCAGGCAGCCATCCAGCTGGAAAGGGCAAAGGTGAGAGATGGCAATCCAGTTCCACCACCACCACCCTCCGCTGGCTCCACGAATGCCCCCACTGTGTACTGTCTGCTCTTACAGCCCCATGTCCCGCAAAACTGCAGCGTAATGGATGCCCTCTTACATTTTCTAGTGTGCTTTCTTCATAGGCCAAAGCTGTAGCCTTTGCGGTGAAGACCAATGTCAGCTACTGTGGAGCTCTGGATGAGGATGTGCCGGTAGCAGGCACGGCCATTTCATTCGATGCCAAGGACTTTCTGCACATTAAAGAGGTAGGATGTCTTACTGGTCGCGAAAAAGAAAGTAAAACATCTGGACCCTTAAATTATAGGATAAAACAAGATCTCCCGCACACTACAGTATCGATTAGTGCTCTGGTAAAGGTCTCCATCAGGTTTTTGTTCTGTCTGCGATGCAATATGAGTTTTGAATATTGCAGTGTGTAGTAACATGTTTATTCTTTGGCTGTTTTGTCCAGCGTACCTGTAAAAGAAGTCAGTGTATCTGGACATTTTATGCTTCACTTGATTTCGTGAGACAATCAACTCCTAACTTGGTTGTCACAAATCAGGAGACAGAACTGTTTTTCTTTCTTTGAGGATCATTGGATTTTTTCATGGTGCATACTTTGTGAAATCTTTAAATTGTGAATTTACCACAGTAAAAACCGGATAAACATTTTGCATAATTTTGTGAGGTCTTTGAAGTGTGTGCTGTCTCCCACAATCTTGAGTGTCTAAACGTTTCAATCAAACAGGCCCATTAAAGTGGAAGCCTGTGTACTTTGTAAATTGCCAGCAATTACAACTTGGATAAAGAGTTTCCTTTTAAATCAAGATTTGGCTTTAATTTTTAATCTTTTGCTTTAAATTTATTAAGCAGGGGCAGAATTATTACTCTTCTAGATTGTTTTGTTTTCTTAAGCTTGTTTCCCTGAACTAAACTGAAACAAACAGATGCATTTCTAGTCTCCATCTCAGTAACTAGTAAATGCCAAACTTAGTATCATTTATTCACACATGTCTTGTACTCAATGTACACATTTATTCTGCAGCTTCGAAAAAAACATTGGTCCGGTCATTGAAAACACAGAAATGCATTTTCTATGGCCTCATGGAAATAGCACATATATAAACATGGAGCTGGTCCTTGAGGGGAGGTGCCAGTCAGATAGAAGTAACTGGGTCATCCTGGAGCAGTTACACAGCAGTAGTGTCTGCCCCAGTCTCCACTGAATGTTGCAAGAGCGCTGCCTCAAAGGTGTCCACACAGAACTCAACTCTTAGAGCAACCTGCACTCAATCTGCCAAGCAGGAAAGCTCTAATCCCAAATGAGCCCATCTCTTCGTTTCTCTCCCAGCCCATAGATGTGTTTCTCTAAAGCATGCAGAAGTCCTGAACTGGGGGCTGAAAAAGCTGCAAGCCAGTTGTACAGTATATGAATCCATTTTGTGTGGGTACGTGAAACGCGGTCTACAGTTAATTTCCAAAACTATGGTCCTGCACACAGAAGTACAACAATGACTGGTGGATAGGACGACTGGTAAAGGAGGGCTGTGAGATTGGATTCATCCCAAGTCCCCTCAAGCTGGAGAACATCCGAATCCAACAGGAACAGAAAAGAGGGCGCTTCCACGGGTAAGAGAGCAGTCCTACAGTCTCCCACCGCGCCTCTCTTGTTTTCACACCGGCATAGTTCATAGAGTTCGGAATGATGTCCTCTTCCCGTCTGGGGAGGAGTAGTGTAACTGGGTAATACAATTCCCTTGACCGGTGTCAGAGCTTTCACATTTCTATTCTACTTATAACTTGGTGCAAAAGGCTCAGCACAACCAAAAAGCACGACTGTTTACTGAATTCTGTTTTATTTTGATAGATTATATTAAGTGGACAACACCAACTCCAGTTTAAGAAACCGAGAGCCGATTGGAAGAGCTGCCAGATCTCTGATTGCAGAACTCTGCTGAGAGGAAAGCGTCCCTGGCAGTTGCTGATATCCAGTTGTGTCACACAGATAGCCAGCAGCTCTTGGGCCAGAGCAATTCAGCCAGCTGCTCTGGTTGTTTGCTGTAGCTGGCTATCAGCAATCAGGCCAGGGCCGGTTCATTGTTGACAGCCAATCCTTGACTCTATGTCCGTAAAGGAACTGAACTGTTTTAGCACTTTCAGCTTACTCATCCTGTGTAGCAGTTGTTCAGTGTGAAGAAATGTACTGGTGTATTAATCTTCGATCATTAATACAAGACAAAGTCATATTACTAATTTAGTACCAATACACCCATGTTTTGTGCTGTACCTTCATAACTGTAGTCTTTTAAGATGTGAAAATAACCTACCCTTGTAGACCCGGCTGTCTTAATAATGAATAGAGGTAACTAGGATTTTAGCACACAGTGTAGCTGGAAGAACTCTGGCGCAAAGGTTTTCAATACTAGACTAGACCGCTGGGACGGAGGTGGGTTCTGAAAGGTCTAGTCTGGCCCTCTGCTAAATTGGAAGCTAAGTTAAGGCACTTGCAATTGGAAGTGATGCAAGATCTATCACCATACAGTAACTCCTTGACGTGCGAGAGAGGTATGTAAAAAAAGACGGCCCTGCTTTGTTGGAAATATTACCTTACTCAGTGAAAGCTCTGGGGAGTTTCAGACACAAGTCATGCTGTACTGTTCTTGCAGCCCTGCTTTAACCATTTGCTTGTGCTTTATATTAATTTTGAAGGTGGGCTCAGTGGAGCTGCAACTTGTTTTGCCGAGATATTTCATGAAACTTCGCTGAAGGTTGTGCTCTAGGGTTGTCCAGGGGTAACCATGGTAAAACTGTGACACATGCATGTTGTTAAAAAGCAAATCTCCACAATATTTTCACACAGTACTAGAACTTATAGTCTGGCAGTAGGACTCTCTCCTTCAGTAGCCTCTAAGTGTACTCCTGCCATTGATGAACTGCAACAGTAATGTGAGTAAAGAGAATGAAGGCATGCACGAGGATTGTTCAATGTTTAGGAATTAAAAAGTGACTAGTATATAAATAAACAGAAAAAAAATTAGAACGACCAATGAATATATCACTAAATATAATAGGATTATATAACTATTATAACAAATTGAGAAATAATTACGTGTTTCTAAGTATTCAATGTTCAAATGTATTCCTGCCCTGTCAGCATGTTGGAAATAAATGCTGTAAATTTATAGAAGATTCTGGAAGTCCTCATGAGCACATCTGTGAGTATTCAAGGAGGTGGAATGGTAAGGAAAAATCAGACTATGTTCTTCAGACAAAACTCTGAAAGTCACAAAGTAATAATTGCCAGAGTATGAATAGATTTGAGCAATGTGCATTTAGAATAATTTATAACAATTTTTGACAGAGGTTCTATTTATGTATATGATACTTACAATACTTTTTTATTTGTACCAGAAAATACTTAATGTTCACCTGGATTGTACTGCTAGTCAGCTTTCTGTTACAATTCATCAAAGGTATGAGTAAACTTAGAGGCTACCGTAAATGAGTCAGGCTGTTGTGTTCACATTTTTGTCAGTGTTAAAGTCACCCTTTAACAATCACACTAAGTACTCTGACAGCAGCCAAACGGGTAGGAGGTGTTTTTCAGAGATGATAACCCAATTTAACGTTTCCTGAGGCCCTTGCATAGATTGTTTTGTGTTGTCATCTGAATTTTTCTATGGATCCCCTATGTGTTGCAAAAAGAAAGTAAGGAAATTCATGTTATGGAAACATGATACATTCACTCATGAAACCTTTTTTAAATTTGGAGTACACTAGTCAGTGAATGGAACTTTAAGTAATATGGACTTTGTCTTTGCCAGAGTAAGTATATTTCACTTCATTGCTTCTCTTTGCTATACACAGTGTCTGAGTACTCTGTCTTCTAAAGATAAAAGGTTAATATCGACTCCCCTGTCTAGATTTTTTAATTGATGATGTTTTTTATAAAATATTTTTTATCATAAACCTGGTTTCACTGAATTCATCCTATAAAAACATATTTTACTAATTAATATTTATCATACACACTAGCTCTTCTGTAGTGACCACAACAAATTAGAGCTAAACTCTAATGGAACAAACACCAGCTAATATAAACTCTGCTAAAGTAAGCTACTCAATATGGGTAGAGAAAAACAAGTTTGACATTTTCCTTTTCTGAATTTGTAATGTTAAGGACCTCATGATCTGGCACATTGAGTTTTCTTCTTGCCCGAGCATTCTGTATCTATATATAGGTAACAATACAGCTTGTGACACTGTCTTTGAACGGCACAGTGCCAAGGCTTTTACAACTGTCCACATCGTCATCTGCTTAAGAAAGGAGAAAGGTTTCTATTCTCCCGATCAGAATAGATAGAAAACAGAGAGAAGCTGAATGAATGCCCCACAGATCCCATGCCCCCAGAGAACTGGTGTTTGACAGATCTGATGTACGATGCTGTGTGCAGCACTTTCCTTGTTAAAGCCCTGTTTTGTTCTCCGTTGTCCTTTGCAGTAAGTCCAGTGGGAATTCCTCCTCCAGTCTAGGAGAGATGGTATCAGGCACTTTCAGAAACACCCCTCCCTCTGCAGGTGAGCCTTCCTGCAGGTGCCTGGGCGGATCAGCTTCCAAGGCAAAATGGCTGTTCGCCTTCCGATTAACTCAGAATAGAACAACAACAACCGGAACATCCCAGATCAACGGGCTTTGTTAGCGCGCACCTTGTGGACGCTGTTGTCTTGTGGAAGACTCGGGATGCCTACGTTAGTGCTGATGGTGACGCTTATAAAAACGCACTGTGGGATTTCTTTAAAATTCCCTAAGGGTTGCAGCGCTGTTTTGTTAAATTTAGCGCCTTTTTACATGGGCAGAGGTCCTTGACATCTGTCCAGAAATTTCTGAAATGTGAATATGAAAATAGGAAACAACTTTCAGTGTCCATTTGTGCAGGAGCATTTATCCATCCGCATATTGTGAATTTGTTTTCTAAAATCCAGATAATTTGATTATTAATAGTGTATGCTAAATCAGTGAATTCGGACAAACGAATCTGGGAGTCTGGCCTGCCGCACTAAATGACAGAAGGTATGCACGTTCCCTGATCAAGTACTGGCTTGCAATAAGAGGAAGGGTGCTGTGGAATGCGCTGCGCGTATTGAGTTCTCTGTGTCTTTCCAGAGCGTGCCATGCATGTTCAATAGGACTCATATCTGGTGAGTGTGATGGCCAGTCCATGTACTCTGTCCGCTCATCTTCCAGATTCTGGTTGACTACGCAAGTTCATAAGTACAATATCAGGGCCAGTAGTGCCGGCAGAAGATCTCACAGTGGGATGAAGCATCTCTTCTTTGCACCCTGAACTGTGATCGAAACTGTGAAGCCGTTGCCCTCCTGGAATTCTTCGCCGCTGAGAGCTGACTGTTTTCTTATTTCTTTGCTAGACCTGGTTATTCCAGACGGGCAGATGAAAAGTTTATGTTCTGGCTTTGAAATTGAACCAGTTACCGTGTCTTTATATTATGAGAGCATGCACTTGAATTATTCATGCCAGGCACCCGAAACAGATCGGAGGGCAAACAAACTCATTACAGAATATTGACACCACCAGGAAAGCGTTCTGTGTTTAGATAAATGAGTGTTTTAGGTAACAAGAATCCCAGGCACACAACACTTTTGATGGTTTATTAATACCCATTAAAAATATTTTCTCAGAATGAATTTTTCTTATTAGTTACTAGCTGATGTAGTTGGCAGGAACTCTTTGTGTTATCTGTTTGGGAAATTGAATCTTACAAACAACCAGGAGACATTTTAAGATGAACAACACAGAACTTTATTATCAGATATGAACACGAAAAAGGACACTTAATCCAAAGACCAAAACAAGTAGCACTGGGAAGGCCAATTTATGGTTTCTGATTTCTTATACACAGAATTCTTACTCACCTTCTGTAAACTGGAATATTACTTCTTCTTATTTCAATTTCTTTATAAGATAGGTGAGATATTTGAGGGATAGAAATGAAAATGTAGAGAGCTGTTTCATGGTAAAAGGTCAATGGTAAATTCATGCAGAATTAAGACATACAATACTGTACATATGCAAGTCTGGCAGAAAAGAGAGAAAGATTAGAAAGTAAGAAATACCTTGTGAAATTTCACTTCACCTTCTGATAAAAAACATGCTTCACGAAAAAAGAAAGTTTGCACATTATCTTTAATGTACTCTGGTAACTTCCTTTGTTTTTTCAGAATTAAGAACTTAAATACCAAAATTGAAGTTTGTTAATTCTGTTTTATCAAGCCACAGTAGCCTTTTTTTAAAATTGAAAACAGACAGTCTAAGTGCATTTTATTGTGTGTGTTTTTTGTTCTGGAAGTGCATTATTGCTGATTACAGGAATGGCATTAACACTGCAATTTTGGGGTTAAGATTAATTTTAGGTCTCATTAAAAAGCTAGACCTACAGTAGTTTTATGACCCATACCAGAAAAGCCGAGTTTTGCAGAAATTATGTTGTTATACTGTACATACTGTAGAAAATCATCTATTTTTATAAATATTATATATTGTAATATACATCTGGATTGACTGCCTTTGGTTTACTAAAATATTTAACGTTCCCTAAAGTGAAGGATTTAAAGATTAAAAGGTAATCACACCTAGATTCTGAAACCAAAAACAAAACATTGTATTGAGGGTTAAAAACCGCTTTGTTTTGTTTATCATACAAAGTCCTTAAATATGTTTAATATGCTCACAACTGCTTTTTTTTCTCCACAGCAAAGCAGAAGCAGAAAGTGGTAAGTTTTTTCTAGAATAATTTTTTTCTATAAAAGTGCAATTGAACTGTTATACTGTGTGTTCACTGTAAGTCCACCAGACCTGTTTTGTACATATCCATGGAAACCATGGAAATCCATCATTTTTTTGTACAAATATTTTGGAAAATTTAATACAAATCACTGTGCAGACACTGTGCTTATATTTAACCCCATTCATTATTGTGTACAATTACTATCAATGTTTGTAATTGTTTGGACAATTCTTTGAATTGTTACTGAGGGAGTTGTTATAATACATTTACATTAATACAAACAATTCAGAAAAAGATTGCATTGGTGAAATAAAAGTCAGATTTATGCAGAACAATTTATCCAACCTTTGAAATTTGTATGTATTGCTAATGTTAAAATCAGAACTTTTAAATTGTGATTTTTTTATAAATTTTCCTTGTCTTTTAAATTCTTTATGGTACAAGTCAAGACAGTTAGCCTACACCCTGTCTTCACCAAAATAATATGTGTTTTGCATTAGTTTGAGTCAATTATTAATGACCACATTTAACATCGATTGACACCCAGCTGTGCAGAGCTGTTTTTTTTTCAAAACATTCTTAAGGAAGTTTTTAGAACATCCGTTTATCTGTTTCTAGTGCAGTTTCCCCTTCTTTAGAACTGTGCCGTTTTGTAAAACATATGAATCATTAAACAAATAAGAACAATACTACCTCAGGAAAAGGGTGCTAAGTAAGCGAGGCACATCAGCACATGAACACAGAAAAGCCAGGCTGACACAGCTTTTGGGCAGGTCCAGCACAGTTGGACAGTTCGTCTTTGTTCTCACGAGAACAGGAACCGTCCCTATAAATGATTGCAACTTGTGCAGAACCAATCTGAGGGCTGAATGGCCTGTTGAGATTAATGAGAAAATTCCCAACGGGTCGCCACAGGCCCCAGGGTTGTAAATACGGTTTCAGCAGGGGGCGATTAAAAGAGTTTTAGCATCAGTGGCAATGCTTGTGCCACAGCCCACCATGACCGCCACTGGCATTTTTACTTGTTGTGAGTTGTAAGCCTCCCAGCTCATCGTGCAGCCATGACAGACACCGCTAGGGGGAAATGGCTTCAAACGGGTGCACTGAAGAGTGTCTGTCGCCCTCTAAGACCTTTGCGATCTTGCCACTGACGCTGTGGTTCCACTGCAGGCCGAGCACATTCCTCCCTATGACGTAGTCCCCTCGATGCGGCCGGTGGTTCTGGTTGGCCCGTCTCTGAAAGGATACGAGGTAGGCCGCCGCTCTGGGCCGTTCTCTTCCCCACCCGTCGGTGCGTTTCCAAGACACGCGGCCTGTTTCCCTTCTCTCCCCTCTCGCTCTTTGCGAAATGTTGTTCTAGCACCTTTTTTCGAATCCCTTGCAGCGCAGTGCACTTTTCTTTCCCGTTAATTCCACCCCCGTGACAGGTGTAACGCAGTGGTATTAGACTATTATGGGGCAATATGGCGATCCCCGTGTTAGAGCTGTGCCCAGAATGCTGCAGTGTTTCGGTGATGACTGTGTCTCTGCTCTTTTATTGTTCTGGTTTGCTCAGCGCACAAAGTGCCAGGCTCACAAGCTTCTCCCCTTCTCTGTTCTTTTCGTGACTTCACAGTGCGTTGAAGTGACATCTTTCCACACAGTGTTATAACACCGTGGTTATTAACTGAAAAGGTAATTTCAAATGAGGCCGTGAGCATTGTTTGCCCTCTCCTCCCTAGCACGAGAAAGAGTGCTGCTGTTGCAGTATCACAGTTCAGACTGCTTTCCTTTACACGGCATTGCCATGGCAACAGACTGCTGGATATAGCCTGGCGGACTGAAAGTGGGGCACTCTCAATGAAAGCACCTGAGGAAAAGCAAATACAGTTCTAAAAATGGTACAGTTTAAAAAGAAAAGTTAAAAACATCTTGAATTAATGAAGACGCAGATTAAAAAAACAAAGCTAATGAAGCTCCGAGGCCTTAAAGCAGGGGTCTCAAATTTAGTTTCCATCCACAGGATTGATTACATAGTTGGTCTACATATTTATTAGCTGCATAAAGGGCTCGCAGGTCATTACTGTACAACATTGAACTTAATGATAACTGTACCTTTGATGAAGAGAAGTCCACTGAAAAAGATCTTAAGAAAAATCATTTCTAATTTAGAAAATAATTAGGTTAATTGTTTAATTGAGTATTCAGGCTGGAACAAAAACCACAAGACAATAGGCACCCCCCCAAACTGTATTTGGATTTGTATGTGCATATATTTATGTTATGATAACTGTTTAATTCTAGCATATCCCTAAGACATACAAAGAACATGATGAGGGAAGACAAAACCAGTTCTCGTTATAAAGTCCTTTTGTCTTGTCTGAAGTCATCGATTCTGAGAGTACTCCCAGGTCACCCCTGGGATCAACTGTGTAGCATCACACAGGAGGGGAACAGTGGAGGCATAGAACAGGCATAGGCACCGAGAGAAAACAGATTGATAATGAAGGGAGAAAAAACGTCTTCAAGCCTGGAGCACTGGAGATTGGCCCCTTTTTGAGGATTAGCAGCCCTCAAATAGCAATGACTCATCCCTGCTTAGAAATTCTTTTAATCAAGCAGGTAACCATTTAAACGTTAGAAGAATTTATTTTCTGCTTCTCTTTCTCCTCTGAATTTGGTATCATGGTATCAAACTTGACAGGTTTTGCTGACTGCCCAGGGATTTAGATAATTGATTTATATTAGGATGAGCAGTAGTTCCAGTACAGACCCCTGTGGCACCCCACTAATTATATCACTCTAATAGGAACTGGTTAGGCTTTGTTGAAAAGCATCTGCATCAAGCTGAAAGCCAAAGTACAATACAGACCCCCTCCAGAGTCTCTTTTCATAAGACACATAGCGTAAGACCTACACAAGTTTAAAGATCTTGCTGTCTGCTTGTTTGAAATCTGTCATTGAGTAACCTAGAGCAGCAGCTCACGGCTGGACATTGTGTTCTGTTGTCTTCCATTGTCAAAAATGAAGATTTTCTAATGTTAGTCTTTTAAAGACTTGTTATATGTATTTTGTTTAGAGGGACAGCAATTTGAAAATCCAAACTAGAATTACACTTAACTCTTACATATTTCCTATTTGTTTTCTGTATAGAATTACCACAATGACAGGTGTTAAAATAAGCAATCAAATGGAAAAAAGAGAATACCTTAATTCCCGTTTTTATATGATTTTTTATTTGCATTTATTTTATTATTGTAAAATCCATGAAATTGGTTTTTCTCAGACATGTCAAAAAGATATAATGTATCTAAAATACATTTGCTCTTCACTAGTTATTCTTCATTCTTTCTTTTTGTTTTTAAGTTGGTCGTGGAATGCTTTTTTCTTGATTTGACATGAATTAGGTTTTCTGGATTTTAGCCATGAAAAAGGTCTAGTTAGTTCATTCATAATTCATTATTGTTGTCCTCATGTGCTAAAGCTATTATGTGCTTCCTCATTTCAGCTTAGGCTGGAATAGAGCACTAGTATTAGAATCCATAGGAAGCAAATACATCCAATCAATTTGTCTCTATTTAACATCAGTCTAATGCAGTTTTAGCAGTATTGTGCCTGAAGTAAAATCTGGCTTTTAAATGGACAAACTGGAGACTGAAAATTTTTAAGTGTTCATTAGTGGGAATACATCTGCTAGTCTATGTAATATGCAATCAAAAGGGGCTATACTTTGAGAGCTGAGAACAATAGTAGCCATTATTCTTTTGACTTAATCTAAAGACACATATTCTTGTTTGGATAATTAAATTGCACAAAATGCTGTTGTTCAAGCCTGGTTATCTAAACATTTAATGTGTGAAGACATCTAATATTATCTGGAAACTATGTGGACTGATTGTGAAATGTGTCTCTTCTTATTAAATCGTAACCCCATTAGAAATTGAACTAATATCTTAATACAATTTAAAAGCAGCCACATATCTATTGCTGCATGATTATCTTTAAACTGTGCAGACCTCAGCATTTACATTGAAAATTATTAAACTTTAATTGATGTGCTTCCTGTAACCTTCTGTTTGAGATGGTAGGCAATTGCTCACACTGCAGCCATTTAGGAAGTCAGTCATGATTTGTTTCACATATCCGTGAGCTATAATTGTTGTATCATTAATTTTACCAAGTTTTAAAATGTGATCAGCGCTTTAGAATATAATAGGTTTTGTAAAAGAGTACAAGTTTATAATCACCTGAAATTGCCTGTAAATAGTATAGATCGAGGTGGAAAATGACTAGAGTGATTCTCTTGTTTAAGACATTCATCTCAATGTGTCTGCTTGTCCCTTCTCAAGCTTTGGTTGCTTTACTAAAGTTAATTCTTTAGTTTGATAACCAATTTTTGTGATCAGCGAAAATACACACAGCCCTGGGGAGAACATGCAGTCTCCACACAGAAGGAGCCTCAGGCCAGAATCAAATCCAAGACCCGACAGCTGCCCTGTGCTTAAAGGGAATAAATGTATCGAAATTAATTTTGGAAAATGCTGTTGGGTGAGAAAGGTTCAATAAGTAACCGGGTAATTTAGTGCTTCTACATATAGCTGATTTCCCTTCTCTTTTCTTAATCTTTCTCCTTCCCAAACACCTTCTCTTTTCCTCTCTCTCTCCCCTGGCTCCTTGTGCAGGTCACAGACATGATGCAGAAAGCGCTATTTGACTTCCTGAAGCACAGATTTGATGGAAGGTGAGGTCCTACAGTACTGTATGTCACTTTATTAGCAGGAAATATAGTAGTAGTGGGAGGCACAGGGCTCAGAGCCACAACTTCTGCTGACTGTCTTTTGTAAAGTACATGGTGTTTGCAGAGCCCAGCTTCCACCACCAAGAGCTGACACAGCAGAAAGCAAACATGCTGCTTTTGCTGCTGTGGGGTTTATGTTTGTCCAAGGCGCAGACATGCTGATAGACGTTTCAAAAAGCTCACTGAGAATGCAAGACCAAACTTCAGACAGAAAACGAGATTAACTAAAATTGCTATTCTGTAGCACAGTGGGTAGTGACAACAAATAGAAATATCAACTTGAAAATTAGGATATCCCCGATGCTTTCTCAAGTGAGAACTGTTTTAATTTCGGGTTTTCAAAACGAGATTTAAAAATGTATTGTGTATTTAGAAATGGCCTGCCCTTCTTCAAGAGTCTTTGCATGTTGTTTAATATGTAAACAGTCAATCTTTATATATGTGCAATGCTAATCTGTCTGTTCTCTCTTTCTGTAAGGGATGTTTCCTGTCTTTTAGCTGTCTTTTAAGTTTAATTGTTCTTTGTTGCAATTGTTTAAGAACACAATTTGCTGGTATCTGCTGTTCTGAAAAGGATTTTATTACCAAACTGGTAAATTTCTAAGGTAAAAGTTTGTATTATAAAAGTATTTGCTGAGAAAACCTTCTAAAATCAGTTCTTTAATGTGAGGCTTTCCAGACCACTCTCGAGAATTGTTAGAGGTCTTGTCTCAATTTGAACTAATTTGAAAGCAATAAATTAATGTAATGGTGATACTTGCTTTTATATAAATTAACATTTGTGGTTGTTTAATTGGTTTAATAATATTTTCTTTGATTCAGTAGTGGAAGTCCTTTAAGATATCTTGCCTCTAGTTATATGTTGATGTCTTACCAAAATTAACATTTTCTGTATATTCACTGTTGTTTTTTTGGTAGGATATCTATCACAAGAGTTACTGCAGACATATCTCTAGCAAAAAGATCTGTGCTCAATAATCCCAGCAAAAGAGCCATCATTGAACGATCCAACACCAGATCTAGTTTAGGTAAGGTTGTCAAACCTTCTTCCGGTAATTATTTTACGTGTGCATCTCTCAGCTTTTTCTAAGCGCATTTTTCTTATTAATGATCATAGTTTCAGCAAGACAGTAGAAGACATAGAAAACCATTATTGTCCTGAAACGAATTTCGATTCTCTTTTCTGTCGTGTATGAATGCTTAAACGTGATTGTAATTCAGTTGAGAAAATACATATGATATAACATAACAAAGTGGTTTCTGTTTATTTCAGCTGAAGTACAGAGTGAAATAGAGAGAATTTTTGAGCTTGCACGATCATTACAGCTAGTTGTGCTAGATGCAGATACCATCAACCATCCGGCACAACTAATCAAGACATCTTTAGCACCAATTATTGTCCATGTCAAAGTTTCCTCCCCAAAGGTAGGTACAGAGCAGTAAACATACAGATGTTAAAAGGCCATTTTACAATAAATAGATATTTTTACAATAAATATGTAACAATTGTATCTCTTGACCCTCCTGTGTTAACTTTACTGTCCTGAACAGAACTACTGGATATACTTTTTTTTAAAATATAAGAAAAATGTGTTATTACTGCCCTCTATTGTTGGAAATTAAAACTGAAACCGAATTCAGACTTAAAGCACAATGTGATGGGGTGGGATAACTGCAGGGACGGTATTTAAAAAAAATGTTTCTTAAAACATTTTAAACATTTTAAGCATTTTCACAGCTGTGAAAAGTTAAATGCACTTCAGAGGCTTTCCGGAGCTTTTCCGGTAAAAAATGAACCCTTCCACACCCCAGCATGAAATGATTCTGAAACTGCAAAGACCATCAGATTAAATTATGGGGTTCATTTACAGTAAGTGGTCAAGTGCCTTTATTTTTGTCAGCTTTTTTAAGACACAAATGTTTTTATTGAAATGACTGTTGTGGTTGGTTCCTCTCTTGTTCCGAAGTGGTGGAGTGACATACAGTATTAAAAAAGATGTATTAATAGGCAATGTACCCTGGTCTTAGAGTCAGAGACAGCACAAAACATTGAATTATCCAGCTTTCTCACAACAATGTGCAATGTATGTCATGGTTGGTACCGTTTTTAAAAGTCTGAATGTCTCGCTTGTTTTCTCTAGGTACTACAACGGTTGATCAAATCTAGAGGGAAATCGCAAAGCAAACATCTGAATGTCCAGCTGGTGGCAGCTGACAAGCTAGCACAATGCCCACCGGTATGTAGTTCAATGTTGAGCTTTATGTTACTTCCTCTACTTGTACTACAAACGTAAGGTATAAAATAATATAAGTTATCCATATGTCCTCCCTTCCTTGTCTTTCTAGGAAATGTTTGATATTATTTTGGACGAGAACCAGTTGGAAGATGCTTGTGAACATTTGGCTGAATACCTGGAAGCCTACTGGCGGGCCACGCATGTCCCAAACAGTACTCCCATGAATCCTTTACTGGGCCGGAACCTGGGCTCCACCGCTCTTTCGCCATATCCCACAGCCATCTCTGGATTACAGGTGATCAGGGTGTTTTGGTGTCGTACAGTTAAAAAAAATAAAAATAATTGCTTACACTTACAGAGCACTTTTCTGGACACTCCACTCAAAGCGCTTTACAGGTAAAGGGGGTCCCTGCCACCACCACCAGTGTGCAGCCCCACCTGGATGATGTGACAGCAGCCATAGTGCGCCAGAACGCTCCCCACACACCAGCTCTCAGTGGGGAGGAGAACAGTGATGAAGCCAGTTCAGAGATGGGGATTATTAGGAGGCCATGATTGGTAAAGGCCAGAGGGAAATTTGGCCAGGATGCCGGGGTTACACCCCTACTTTTTTCGAGAAATGTTTTTTTCTTTTGGTTTTACGTCTCATCCGAAGGACGGCGCCTTTATTACAGCATAGTGTCCCCATCACTATACTGGAGCATTAGGATTGACACAGACCGCAGGGTCTGTAGCTCTGTAGCTTTTGCAGTGGCGCACAACTCCGGAGCTGCAGTTTAAACTCATGTCTTCATGGCCAGTTTGGACACTCCAGCTCAACCGTTTTCAATGGTCTTCCATTGTTGTTGATTTACAGTAAGTAGACCTGGAAAACCTGGCCTTTGGGGACTGGAGCTCTGCTCTTGCTCAAAGTGGCCTACAGGGGTAACTTCATGGTGATGGTATATAGATGTATTCAAGATACAACAAAAGAAGTGAAAGATTTACCTTAAAGACAAAAGCCTTTGACCTTTGACCTCCGAGGGTGGTGATACTAAAACGGGTTGTGTTTTAGCTTTAGAATTTAGAAATTATTATTCATATTATTTGTCTTTTATTACCACCTTTATAATAATGAGACTAGTAATGAAATTAATAATGAAAATGATTAGTCTGCTCGTTACCATTGAAAACAGTGGACTGGACATCAATTGGACCACAATCCCAACATACCCCCACCACCAGGAGTGCCTGACTAACTGTGCATCGCTGTTTGGTGAAACGTGGTTTGTGACATAGCCCTGACCTGGTAGTATTCAGATTATGGAATTTATTCTGTTCTCCATTCGAAGTATTACTGCTAGAGCCACTTAGGAGGCTCATACCATCATTCCTGAACATAGCGGTGTACTATTTGTACAGTTTGTAGCGCTCTTCGTGGGTTACTGATGTTGACTCGCCATTACCATCAAGTAACGCGTTTCATTTACCATCCTTGCGTTCATTAGGGCCAAAGAATGAGACACGGTAACCATTCCGGAGAGCACTCTCCGATCGAACGCCGGAGCCTGATGACCTCGGACGAGAACTACCACAGCGAAAGAGCACGCAAGAGCCGGAACAGGCTGTCCTCGGGCTCCCAGCATAGCCGAGACCACTACCCACTGGTGGAAGAAGAGTACTCCGACCCCTACCAGGACACGTACAAACCACACCGGAACCGCGGCTCTCCCGGCGGCTACAGCCACGACTCGAGGCACAGGCTTTGAGTCTACATGCAACCTGCTAGGCCTCTCCTCTCTACCACCCAGTACTAAAGAGCTAAGACAGTCCTGTTCAATCACGTGAATTTTCCAAGTGTAATACCTCGTTTCCCTCTGGCACTGGTTCTGCACAGTGTTGACCTGCAAACTAATCAGGGTACTGTACATCTACTTTTTTTTTCTGATGCAAGCTTGTAAGTGAAAAGGGAAAGTGCTGATTTTTTTTCTGCAGCGGCCAGTGTAATAAAGTTCCTGCTCTAAGGTTAGGTTAGGAACGCCTAACTGTTTTTGTTAGTACAAGGAAAATTAGAAATGAGGGCTGCTCAGCATTGAGGTTACACTTTATGTAAGCAAGTTAATTTGGCAGAGGCCATGAGCTTTGTGTGAGCATCAGGACCTGCCCTGCAGTATTTCAGAAGCCCTGTGCTTGAGTACTCACCAGGGCTCGCTGCAGCAGGGTTCCAGCATGTATTGAACCAGTGCCAGCTTGGAGGAAATACTCTCACAAGGATGCATCCCATGACCAGCATGGAATTTGCACATTTTCAGGAGCCAACAGAAACGGAGTATGACACTCTTTAAATGTCCTTAATTTCTTTCAATGACTTTTTAGGTTTAGATTTTATGACTGTATACTCTGTTGTACAGTATAAGGCAATGTTTATATTTGCCAAACATATTATTCGAGTAAATTGGATATGGTTGTGATCCCTCCAATAACATTGATTCCTACCCTTTCTATTCAACTCAGTTTGTGCCATTTGAGATGCGCTCTATCAGGCACTAGAAAAATGTCTTGTTCCATAAACAAATGGAGCATTGGTTGGCATCTTTTCCGAATAGGGTGCCAAGCAGCGAGATGTGATTTATTTTCATTTGTTTTCTAAATGCACCAAATGGCCTACACTATTTCCTCAGATAAATTCGACACACATTTTTTTCTCTACAGCATGCTACACACATTTAAGGATTTGCAAGCTGTCTACCATCCTGTGTGGATAGGCCAAATTGAAATTGAAATCATCACAAGTTGCACATCAACACTCTTTATGCCTTGGTTCCAACCTTGTTTCAAGGTTTAAGCTGCTCCAACCTTACCTGGAAGGTCTCAGTTGTAACTGCGCAGGGATGGGATTTTAGGTTTGGCATGAGGCCAAAGTGTTGATCATGCTAACCTGTGATCAGATCATTCATAGCGTCCATTGCCAAAACCCATAACAGCTGCTTGTGAAGGTGATGTCATACGCATCGTATTTCATTCTCTTGGTTCCAGGCATGTGTCCCTTTTGGCAAACCCACAGTTCTTTTGTAAATGAAAACCCTCTTTGATAAAACTGAAAGGGGCTTCGGCATACAGTATGTTATATCAGTGCTGTACAGCAGCTTGCTTCATGTATTACATGATTTTGGCAGTTCAGGAAGACTGAATTATGAAGAAGACGAATGCCATACTCACAGAGGTCCTTGTCAAACTGCAGAGAGGCCGTGTCAGTTTTGATCTTGGTTAATTAACGGGCATGAGGAGTTAGGGGAATCCAAAGAGACCTTTAGTCCCATCAGTATCCACGATGTCAGTATTTTGCTGGATCTTGAGGCCTGTTCTCTCACACTGTCGCCCCTGCTCAATTGCTGCAGGGCCCAACTAACCAAGTGTTGTTTGTACCTGAAGAGTTGGTTGGCAATACCTAAAGCTGTGTGGGACATTCACTGCTGAAAAACAAATCAAAAATACCCAGTGCAAAGCCTCAGCACTGCAACACTGCTTTCTCAAGTCGAATGTATACAGTAGTGAAAAGCTTATATAGTTAATGTTTTGTTAGTGAACTCAGCAACAGGCAGGTTTTTTGAACAGAAAACAAAGTGAAATTTTACCTGAAACTTTTAGTGTTTACTGCTGTGTGGCTAAGGTGTTTGTGTGCTGTGTTATGAGATGATAGCACTAGTCCTTATCACACTGTTTCCTTTCCCAGATGTTATTTTAGTGCCTCTTTTTTAAAGCCTTGTTGAGAAGTCTTCCATGTCTTGCCTGTAAAGAGAAAACGTCTGTCAACACAATTGCAGCTACACAAACCTGAGTGCCATCACTTCCATGTCGATGGAATGATGTTACTATCAGCTTTAGTTTGGCTCGTTTTTTGGTGAAACACATTTCAAGCGCTGTGTCAGTGACTCCTACTGTAAAAGTAGAAAAGCTGACAAACTTAATTTTTATTTTTAAAAGTGCTGAGTTACTGGGTAATGTCCCCCAGCTAATTTATTTTCTATACACCTCAGGTTTAAATGGTGATTCCCCAGTGTGATAATTTGGTATAGGTATTTTGATTGTGGATTCCATTTACGTTGCGTATAATTACAGTAGATGGCTGTATGGTGTGATATCACTTGCTTTTTAGAATTGCTTTCCTCTGCTTCTGCCTGATAGGTATACCCTACATTCTGTAGTATGTCAAACAGACCATCAATCATGAGAAACTGAGGCCATCCCAAATGACAGTATTTTAAAGATTTCATGGCACTTGTTGGTAGTGATGGTAAATCATTTGTATGTGAAGATGTATTAGAATGTTTATTTCTCTCTGTTTCTCTACTATAGTTCATTAAAGCTCAGGGGTTCACTCTTACGTATGAGCCTAATATAATATAATACAGCATAACTGTCCATTGCATATTGACAGAGTGAAAATGTAAAGTACGTGAGAACAGGGGTTTCCAGTCCTGGTCGCAGGGACACATAACAGCTGGTTTCCATTCCAGCAGAGCTCTGTTCTTAATTGAATCTTTAACTGAACTACAAAGATGCCCGATAGGAATCTCAGCAAATTTTGTTTCTGATCTAAAGCTTGAGTACTTCGCTTTGGAAAGGCAAAAGTTAAATGCAACCTCCTACATGTTTAGGGACTTAAAACAGTTAATACGCTCAAGTGACTCCACTTACTGCATATGGCTGTTGAAGGGTTCAGTTCTGTCCAGGGAACTGTGCCCGGCCCGAGAGAAACGCAGGTGTGTGCCCCCTGATCAAGGCTTGGTAACCGCTGCCTTAGGGCTCACAGGGATTGGAGAGGGGTTCACAACTGAACCCTGGCGTGTCTTTTAGTACCTTTCGTATTTTCTCAAATATCTGCATGTGCAGAACTCCACTGCAAACACAATAATGCATTGAGGATGACTAAGGAATTAGAGAGGGAGCTTAAGTTTTGAGAAAGCAAATGACAGGTCAGGAGTCATGACAAGGTAAACCACAAGAACCATGGATCCTTTCTCTAGAACTGAATCAGTTTTTAAGCACTATTTGTAAAACAGCTATTTATGACAATCAGGAGAGTTTTGGTAGTAGATCCCACTTTTTCTCCTTCAATAGGTTGCTCTTGTATTTAGTGTGGTAAATCCTGTCCTATAGTAAAAACATAAGACATTCCCCCATGAGAAATTCAGAGCTCTGTGGAAATATCACATAACCTTCCTTCAGCTCTCAAAAGAAAGCGTGAATGCGTGTCATTAATCTCTTTACGGCCTTTATGTTCATTTCTTGTTTCATTTTCTAATTCTTTCATATTACTTGGCTGAGATACTGGATATGCACAGTAGGGCCTATCTTAAAAAAGTGATTAATAAATGAAATCTTACAATGAAAAACAATTTTCACGCCTTGTCCAAATACTAGATTTTTTGATAGTAGAAACTAATGTGGGAGTAAATATATTGTATAGTTTGGTTCACTTAGAAACCTTCAGTTATTCTTTTCAGATCAGATGCTTGATGCCCTTTGTTCGATGCATCACTTATCCCTCTCTAGTTTTGACCAATGCAGGAGTGATAAAAGATAAAACAGATATACATTCAAAAACATTCAGCGATTTGTAAAAATATTTAGGTAAACTGTTTAGCTTCTTGAATTTAGTATGCTGATTTGATAAGCAAAGTTGGTATTCAGAATTGCCAAATTTCAGTGAACTAAAATTCTTTTCAAAATGTGAGTAAAAGAACCTCTTGGCTAATATATAGTACCAATTATCAGTATTTAAAGCCTTATTATTCAAATTATAACTTGCATTAGTTGCTTTACCTGCCAAAATAAACAATTGAATGCCTTTTATTTTCAATTTTTTTTAAACAGGAGTTTTTATTCCTATGAGTCATCGTTCTGGCAGTTTTGTGTCTTTTGTTGATTTTCACAAACAGAGGTTCAGCTGTGAGGAAGAAAGAGCACATTACAATACGTGGATGTGCTCTTTAAGATATTTTATAAAATAGCACATTATGATAGGGATTGCACATTGGTGATAGCACAAATTTAGAATAGAACTACTTTTTCTGAATTTGTTTAGAGAAAAACTTAAGCAGAGTTGGAAATATGCGGTACACCCATTGGACAGATTTGTGAAACTTGCTTGTTTTTTTATGACATAAGTTTTTGTGGACCTTGCAGATATGAGTTATGGCATATAGAAAACCGCTGAGTAATGTTCAGTTAGATAATTTGCCATTTCAAACAAATTACAGTTTACTTACATTGTGTTTTCATAGGGACTGCAGAACGTAGAACAAATTCCTTCTGGTTAGCAATGCTATATGCACTATGTAGGAACCCTTTTATATTTCCATTGTCACTTCTTCAATTTATATTTTGTGTATATTTTATTAGTGGTCAACTTATTAAGTGGTTGTATATATAAAGTGTCATTCTCCATTTAGTCCTGCTTCACTACTTAAACATGGATCCATGTTGTATAGACCACATGTAATGCGTTAAGAAGTGGATACTTTGCCAGTTCAGTATTTCTTCCCTGGTGCTATTTTATGAATCTGCTTGCCTATTTATGCTTGGACTTTCAGAGATTGATGATAAAGTTGTATAGTAGCCCAAACAGCCACATGTACTTATGTGTGAACTTGCTGGACTATTTTGATATAGAGACAATATTAATGGGTAGGGCTTATGAAGTATTAGGGCACACAGGAGGCAGCTGGAGCAAGTGCCCTTGTATTTTTTCTTCAGTACAAATGATATTGAAAAATGGATAGGGTTGATATCTTTTCCGTGTCTCAGATGCCCAAACGCACCTTTTACTCGAAACGTCATATACTGGATCTGAAATAACAATAAACCTGCCTCACAAGGAATACTATTCCTAAATTAGGTGCTTTAATCTTAGCACACTAAAGCTGTCAGTAAGTACATAAAAGATCAAAAATGTTTTCTCTTTAAAGGAACAGCTCCTTATTTTTTATGTCTGGACCAAATCAAAACTTTAAACCATCATTCCAGTGACAGATTTACCAGCATGCCACCTAATCTTGTCAGATCTCAGAAGCTCAGCAAGGCTAGGCCTGGTTTATACTGGTATGGGAGAAGTCTAAGGAAAACCTGGCTGCAAGTGATGTAGGTGGACCATAGGTGGTGCTATTCCCTCTAGAATATCTAGAATACCGATGACCCCACGTGATGGCCAGGGACACAGTGCTATAGAAGGTAACACCCATCAGAAGAGATGCTACAGTACATCAGTATCCTGACTTCTAGGTCAGTAAAGATCCTATGGCACTGTTCATAAGATTAGGGTTGTTAACTTTGGTGTCCTGGCCAAATTTCACAAATGGGGTTGTACGATTTGATCCACCTTATTTCAACTGTTGGAGCAATTTTTCATTTCTCCACCTGACCTGGACTGTTGGTACAGAATAGCTACTGTGTGTCACCCAGCTGGGGGCTGTGCTTCAGGAGTTCGTCTTATACTGTTTGTCCTTTTATAGAGAGAGAGCATGTTAAGATCCTCTGGGATCAAAAGCTCTATATAGGCCTGAGCAATTTTTATTATCTTGTAACCATGATTTATGATGGTGGACTTGCAGACAAACAGCAGCATTCAAGTGGGATGGTGGGATTAAGGGTCTGATTTGGTCTGGACTTTAGCTACTCACATGTATTGACAGACATGCCCTGGATTCTTGCTGTGTGGGACTGAGAGAGAATGGAGGAAGGGTGCACTAATTCTAGGAAAACAGGCTCATGTGCCACTACATGGCAAAGAAAGGAGAAACTACTACTCCCCTTGAAACCAGCACATATCTGGGCATAAGTACCTGTACCTATTTGTGCACTTATACATCAATGACATTGTTATGAGAAAATAAAACAAAAATGTTTGCTTATTATCATCATAATTCTTGATTATAGATTTCGTGTTTGTACGTATATGGCATTATAGGCATGCAATAATTTCTGACTGCACTATAGAATGGCTACTGGAACCCTTTTGATACATATTGAATCAATGAATACTGTCTGCTTTCCTGTTAGTAGGTCCAGTGTAAGTCCACTTCATCCAATGGATGTACTGTACACTGAAGTTATTAAAGTATGATGTGGAACTCCAGAAAGCTAAAGAATCTAACTTTGTATCTATATTACTTCATTGTTATTGTTTCCCAGCCCTTAATACACTGCAGTTTGGTCTCATATCTAGGGCAAGAGAAATTTAGATAAGAAGAAATCCAAGATGTTTTCTTTTTGACAAGGTGAATGTTTTGGGAAATGTTGTGAATCAAAATAGCTCAAATTTGTAAAGAAATGTAAAACAGTGGGGGTTGCAATTCCTCTCTGCCCAGTGCTGGATATTCAGACTCACAAATCTTGTTAGCAGGTTAGATAACAGAAGCTTCGTCTCCTGTAGCATCAGCAGAAACCTTTGGAATGAGACCCCTCTGCTTCTCTGAAATTAGAAATGTTGCATGAGACACAGGATTGCATGTCAAACAAATAAAAAAAATGGCAGCAAAAACAACAGTCCCCTCCCTCCGAAAAATAATGGTAATTTTTCTTTGACTTCCTTTGTTTTGAATGGGACAAAGGAAATTCTGACACGACACACAGTTCCGCTAACTGGGTAGCTAGAGTTTACAACAATTTTTTTTTTCTTCTTGAACAGTATCGCCAGGATAACTGGAAATCAACTACTGTACACCATGAAAGCTATCTTAAAACACATGGCAATGATCCCTATAAAATATGTAATTAGAATATAAAAACACTAAACTCTAAAAACTTGTAACAACAAAAATGTGGATATATATATATATTCTGAGGCTCGTCAGGCGATGATCCAGTCAGATCTGAATCTTTCTTACTCTGATATTTTCTAAATACATGAATAATGGGACAATAGGCCTCAAATTATAAATAACATGAATGAGACTGAAAGTTCCTGTTTAAGTCTGGATATGAGGCCAGCCCGTTTTTCCACATGAAATGGTGATTTTTTTGTATTCTTTGTAATTATTATTATTAATAATGCACAAAAGATATAAGATAGTTTTTTCTTTGTTTTTTTCCTCTTTATATCATAGTAACCATTTTATGAAACAGTGAAAGAACAAAAAGAATAATGAAATTGGGGACTGGTTTAAAATAATGTAGTTTTAAGTAGAGAATTTGGGAGACAAAATATAATAATGATCAAAGAAGTTGTAAATATTTTTTAAATGCATTTCTCTTCCATGATGACAGTTATTACTGGACGATCAGAATAATAAAAGAAAAAAGCTGTAAGTGTCCTGAATGACACTTCAGTTTCATTAAATTATACGACTGGCTGGTGGGGGGGAATCTCCATCAGTCCTTCTCTTTGGCTTTCCGGAGGATGTTGTATGTATCCTGTACCCCTCATTAAGGAACCTGTCCACCTTGGGCACAGAGCAGGAAAAGCTCCTGTTTTTACAAATGGTTATGACTTGTGCTCTGGCCTGGCGTCTTTGAATCCAAGCAGGCAGCAAAAGGTGTGCCAATGCCATTATCCTTTTGCCTTATTAAGCAACTCCACCTTGAAGGAAAAGCTTGCCAACTAGGCACATAGAATGGCACTATGTAAATTGCGAAAACGTTCCCGTCTCGAAAGGAAAGGCCATGTTTTTCCAACAAGTGCAGAAGCGCTTTGTCTGGTACACAGAAACCTTACACCACCCCAGTCTCCCCTGCAACCAGATACCAGACAACCTCTTCTGTTGGTGAGTAAGGCTTCGGATTTCTACAGTTGTTTTCTTACTTTCAGAAAATGAGCCTTTATCCTTCCAGATGCCGCTACATAGTTGTTAATGAAGAAACAAAGCCTTTTGACTTATTTCCTGTGGCTACAGTATTCATCAGACATTTGCATAACATAAAACTCATTGCAGTTACAGTATGTGCATTTACCAGCATGCATACCGTTTTATGGATATGGCCCACTTACTGCATTTCTGACATCTGATTATTGCTGCACTGCTAAACCAGATGTACAATTCATGTTCCTGAACCACTGAGAGCAGGTCCTCTTTTTGGAAAAATTAAATTTAAGGTGCTAGCATAAGCATTGTCAATTACATAATGAGCAGCACTTAAAAAATAATTCAGGCTCTTGCTGAGCATGATCTAACTAGAGGTATGATAATTGGACGTGTGTATGATACTTATCCCTTACAACTTGACTGATCATACTATTCTGCACTGCCAATATCTATAGTGAAACTTTATCATAAAGTAGTCTGCGGTCAAAATGAGAATGTATGGGATATGTATTTACAGACATACCTCTCTTAACAAACAGAAATGATGACTTTTCTCGGAATCAGAAAATAGAGAATTTTACTTTGGGTTAAGAGATTTTTTTTTTTGATCATCTTGTTAAAATTGAAGATTTTTTTTCATTTATTATTTTTTTAGAAACAGCAAAGCCTTCTTTGGAGGCATTTAAATGGCTATTGCATGCTTAACATGGCAATAATAAAACAATATGTTGCTAGTTATTAACATTCATACTGGGTTTTACTTCTTATTTTATATTGTGAAAATGTAAAAAAGAAACCCTTTACCTACTATGATTCGCATAGTGAATATCTCACAATTTTTCCTTGTCACAAAATGTGACTTGCTGATCATTATTTTATGAGATCTATAGCTAATGTTATAAGAGGTATTGCTTCCTGATATGCTGTCAAGAGTGAAAATTGAAATGAGAGGTAATGTCAGGAATTAAACTGAAAAAAGTAAACCATTTACTCTATATTTTATTTACCCTTATTTCTGTACCTAAAAATACCAATTTTCAGTTATGTGCAGTATTCTATAAAAGGCATGCTGGTAAAAAATTAAATCATTTACTATGCAAATGTGTACAGTGCTGCATGCTAACGCTTATCTCTCCCTCTGCCACTTAGCGGCTTCATCAGAGCTCAAATGAAATTGTGTTGTTATTTTTGTGGAAGAAGATGTTTAAAAGGGAAATGCAAAAATGCATGCATAAGACATTTTAATTTCTGAAAATTAAGAAAAATATGTTTTATGGAAAATAGATGTGTAAAAAAATCTAGCTGCATTTAAGAGTTTTTTTCTAAAATAAATGGGAACTCTCGAAATTGCATCTTGTGCTTTCCTTCGTTTCACAGGATCTTTTACGTATAAGCTTGTCTTGGATATAAGAAGTACATGATTTAGCTGACTTTTACAGAAGCAGTTATCTTATGCAGTTTTAATTGATCCCCCCCTAAAAGATAAATCTGCCTGCCCAGCTGTCTACCTCAAATTTATGTTATAATAGTTATGCAATAGTGTTATTGTTAGTTTTCTGTGTAACAGACATGCATGCTCTATGATGTGAATGCTATGCAGACTTACTCAGACAGAATATCTGTGATCTTCACTTTATATTAGAGATAATAATAGCCATTAATCCTGGGTATATGCCCCTATTGCAATATAACACACCATGAATCTCCAAAAAAATTGCTGATAGGAAGAATTTCCCTCTATACAAAAAGGAAACAAAACCACTAAGTTACAGCTTGTGGGCAGGAACTGTGTTGCACAACATTAACAAACTTTGATCGTGTGAGTAAAAGGATCTCATGGGGTGAATGTTCAACTGAGACGTACAGTACTTTAAATAGCTTTGTGCGACAGTCTAAAGAATTTACGGTCTTTCAGTTAGGTGTTTGGAAAAGCTAGCCAAATTTAAATAATACGTTTATCTGATTCTCTCAGTGGAATTTTGTCATCCTACACTGTTTAAAAAACTGCTTGGGGATCACGAGTGTCAAAACCACAACACTACATACAGTAGCTAAACACGACAAGTATCAGTCTCTCATGAACCTGAAGGCACCCACACACAGCCCCTTGCGTGCTCTGTCAGGACGTCAGCCAACTGCATTCATGCTGAACTGCAAAATTCAAATGGAAAAGCAGAACTTTAGCACTGACCACAAGAAGGCAAGTCAGAGCCGGCTCCTGCTGGAAGCCCGGCACTCACAGAGGCTGTGTTAGCTGCTTTAATAATAACAATAATAATTTTCTGGACATTCCACTCAAAGCGCTTTCCAGGTAATGGGGACTCCCCTCCACCACCACCAGTGTGCAACCCCCACCCCATAGTGCGCCAGAACGCTCCCCACACACCAGCTCTCAGTGGGGAGGAGAGCAGAGTAATGAAGCCAATTCATAGATGGGGATTATTAGGAGGCCATGATTGGTAAGGGCCAATGGGAAATTTGGCCAGGACGCCGGGGTTACACTCCTACTCTTTTCGAGAAACACCGAAGGACGGCGCCTGTTTACAGTATAGTGTCCCCGTCACTATACTGGGGCATTAGGACCCACAAGGACCAGAGGGTGAGCGCCCCCTGCTGGCCCCACTAACACCTCTTCCAGCAGCAACCTTAGTTTTTCCCAGGAGGACACCTATCCAGGTACTGACCAGGCTCACACCTGCTTAGCTTCAGTGGGCTGCCAGCTGTGAACTGCAGGGTGATATGGCTGCTGGCCAGTTTAACCTGTTTGAGCTAACTTTCTTACAGGCTTTCCAGAGACAGCGTGTCAGAATGAACGCAACAGATTTTCCTGGATGCATCTTTTAGTGAAAAGCTTTGTAATAAACTGTCAGTGATCAGGAAGGATTTTTTTTTTTGCTGCTCACGTCAACGGAACCTCTGTTGATACATGTGAAAGGACGGAACTCCCCTTAACTGTTCCACCTTTTCACTCCAGCTTCATCTTATAAATCTGTTATTTCAGGAACCCCCAGAATACCATCAACACACAACCCTTCAATCCATCAGTAATTGTGCTCTTCAGATTAATACAATTAATTCACTGTCTGTCAAACACTAAACACCAAGCTTCTATGCACAAATTGTGCCCATGCAGTTCCATGATTGCCCTGGAAATATATTGATGAATACTTCTTCAAATAAAAGTCACACTTTCAAACTGTTACATTCACAAATAACTTCAAACACATCTGCAGCTATTTGTTAAAAAACAAAGAAGCCCTGATTTCGTCTCATAATAGCATTTTTGGAGATAGCGTTGTTTCACATTTTACCTCAAAAATCTTGGCTGCCTGTTTTTTGGACAATACCTCCAATCCGGCTCTCTAAAAAATAAAGTAAAATCTATTTAACCATATACATAGCCTATAATCTGTGGCATGAACGGGCAGTGTTAAATACCACATTTCTCAACTTCTGGAATTATGCAACGTAATGCCTCACAAACTGTATATTCCAAGTTCCAATGGTGCCTTTATATAACCCTTTCAGACAAAATCTGCATTCCCAAACACGAATAGGTATAGGAAATGCCTGAAAACTGAACGGAAAGAAATCTGTACGATAATACACTAAACAGAAGGTGGTCATGCCAACGCACAGTAGACCTGATTTCACAGTAGGTAGAGTACACTTAAAATCACTTTGAATAACTATGGCACAAAAAACCACAACCAAACGCCGTGTGCATGAATTGGAGATCTCAGTCTATAACGTGCACGTCCGCTAGGGCATGCTTGTTTGGTTTCCGCTGTCTCTTAACCCTGTGTTACACGATATTCGCACCCAGCCGCCCCGAGTGTGAGGTGAGACGGTGAGACACGCACCCCCCTGTTTGGGAACGTGCTGGCCACGCTTACATAACATCCGGCCACGCCGGGCCGAGGTGCGCATGCTCGCACTGCTGACGCGTCCACTGCCTGGGTCAGGCGCGAGAGAGAGCGGGTCGCCTCTGTTTTCCTTCGCCGCGAACCGGGTTGGGAGATTCAAGAGCGGCTTTTTATTTTTATTCCCCCTCCCACAAACAACAACAACAACAACAACAACAAATAAAAAAAGAGAAGAGCGAGGCTTATGAGAGCGTAGGGCCAGGCTTCGCTTCAGCGGGAGCATGTCGTCTTCGTGGCGGAGCAGGACCGTGAGCGCCGCCCGTGTTGCCGTGAGACAGCGTCAGGTCGCGGGCTCGGGCGGGTGCTGATCGCGCTGGCCGGACTGTTTCCCCGTGTGGTGACGGAGGCGGCGGCCGTGGCTGCAGGCCCCTTTCGTCGGCTATGGGCATCCTCTTCACGAAGCTGTGGAGGCTTTTTAACCACCAAGGTGAGGTCCGCGGCGCCGTCTCCCGTCCGCCTTCGGGTGCGACCGGGGCTTTCTCGTGGGCTGGAGCCGCGGCAGGGCGACACAACGGCGTCGCTGGTCCTCGATTATTATTATTATTATTATTATTATTATTATTATTATTATTATTAATAATAATAATAATAATAATAATAATAATAATACTGTCAGCCGGGGTGCAGTCCGAGCCAAATCGTCAAACCCCCCGTCGATTTCACTCCCGCCGGTCGTCTCGTCTGGCCGCGATCCGCTTCCCGGTGTCGCGGCCTGGGAGACGCGGTCGAGGCCGGCTCGCTTTCCGGCGCGGCCCCCCGAGCTGGGCTGCGGGCCCGGCGGGTGGTGCCGGGGGTCCGGATCCCCCGGGCTGTTCGGCTGAAGTTGCCCGCCCGTCCCGTCCCGTCCCGTCCTGCGGGCGCCCCCGCCGACTGTGAAACGTCATTTTCCCCAGCTGTTGGCGGTCCGGAGGTCAGGTGTGCTGTCCCAGCCAGAGCAGAGAGCCCACCCGCGGAGAAGGAGAGTGTGCCCCCTTTGCGAGCGTTTTGTGTTGGCTGGTGTCGTAGCCGATGTCTGCACACGAACCAATTTGCCGTCATATTGCGAACAGACGTGAGCTTCATAGGCCGCCGGTTTCTGCGCTTAACAGAGGGGAAACTGTGGACTAGGTGCCAGGGCCTTGAAGGCCTTGACTCTCACAAGGATAACTATTGACATTCCTGGAGTAATCTCCCAACTTCTGCAGCTGATATTTTAAATATATTTTAAATTTTGTACCGTTTTACGATTTCTCCGTGGGGCAAGGCAAAAAGCTCAGCTGTAGGTCTAAAGTTTGCTGTTTAGCTCAACTCAGTATATGTTTTTTTTTAAAACAAGTCTCCTGGTTAAAATAGCTTTAGTTCCAGGTAGTGAAAGACTGTATTCTCAGGTTACAGGGCAGACAAGCCTCATGAAACAGTACTGTACGGTAGCCTTTGCTTTTTTCTGGCAGGGCCTTGACAATAATACAAGTTCTTGTGTGGTAGCTGCTGCTGTGCCACAGAGCGTTCACTGTCTAAGCAGGCATGATTTATAAATGAAGCAGACCTCATCAGAGGTTTGTAGTCCTGTATCCAGACCCTCTGTGGTCTGAGAAAAGTTTCCATGTGCTTTTAGGTTATGGCTCCATTTACTTAGGAGTTCTGTGACCTAGAAAAACAAAGGTGTCCATTTCTGTCATCATTTTGACAGTCATTCTCTGACCTCATGAGGTTTTTAGTTAACATCACACATTGGACGAATTTGCAGGTCGAATGCTTTCTGCAGTAGTAAAGGAACTGTTTTCGGGGTGAAAAGGCAGTTTCTGCTGACTTTGCTACGAGCACACTTTTAAGACCAAAATCTATTCTTTTGTTTCCTGGAGATGATTTCTTACACTGCACAACTGTACAAACATTTATACCTCTGTTTCAGCGCAACAGGGCAACGGAGAGTGGTCTCTTTCTGAATAATATGATTAAAGTAGGCAGTACGTGTTTTAAAGTTTCATCTGCTAGGCCTGGGGTTATTCTAAATGTGAGTCACTGGAATTCACGTAGATGCAAGTACAGGCTTACATTGTAAGTTGATACCTGCACCTTCAGCTTGGAAATATAAGAAGAGGGAAAGAGGAGAAGCCCTCAGTTGTTTGTGATCCTTTAATCCGAGGAAATGCAGTTATTGTGTTGTTGTTTTTTTAGTCTGTAGAAATCAGTTATTCCTTTCACTGCTATACTCTTTATCCAAGGTGGTGTATGCAATACAATTGCAGTTAATTCTCTGAAGTATCAGCAGTATACGTTTGCAGTCGAATAACAAACCCATCTAGATGAGGTGCAGTATAGGCTTTGTATATTCTTCCAGTTCAAGGTGGACTTTCTTTAAAACAGCAGGTACTGTGGTTATTGAGTGCAATTGCTCTCATACTAACTTGGCTTCTTGGCTACATCAGTTTCTGTAATATATAGGACAAGTGCTGATGTTAAACTATAGAATCTTGATTGTTGGTCTGAATTACATGATGTCTCGATCCAATCTACTTTTAAAGGTGGATCAAGCTTCTGGTTTCTGACCTGGCTAACTAAACTGCATTTCATGCAAGAATCCAGTTTCAGAAGAGAGATTTCTGCCAGGACATACTGTACAATTTCCAGCACCGGCCTTCAAGAGAGGTGTAACTGAAGAAAGTTCAAGCCAGCTCTCATTCTTGTAAAGGACAGTAACATTATCCAGTCCTCTTGTGTTTACGTAATTAGGACTTTCACTTGTTTGAAGTTGGGACTATGAATTGGGACTATGAATTAGTACTATGCTTGTTTTGAGGGATGTTTTCTGTTGCTGTTCCTGCTCTGTCACTGACTGGCCGCAAACCCTCTGGGAGGTTTTTATGTGTTTTGTCGTTTGATTTGATCCCTCGAGTGAAGCAGGCCTGTGTCCCCAGTGAATCCTAAAATAGTCTAAGTGTTTAGCTCGAACCTCCTGAGGGTCTAATCTGCATTTGGCTGAAAGGATTCTTTTTCACGTCTGACTCAATGAATAAAAACAGTTCCAAAAATAATTTAATTGGGCTGCAGTATCATGAAAGACATTGTTTTCAAAAGGCTTTCAGTGACTTCGATGACAGTTTAGACTGAAAAGAGACTGCTTTATTTTTCGTTGACTCAACAGATTGACATTTCATTATGAATTTTGCTAAATTTACCCACATTTCTAACAAGTGAAATCTCTGTTTTTCTGAGGCTGTGTGTAGGAACGTTCTTCCGGTAAATCTTGAATTCAATATTGAATTATCCTTAAAAATCTTTTCGGATTTATGTTAATGTAAATCCCAGTGACAGTGTACAGTGAGGCAAGATGTAGATAAAGGATAAGCTACGTGATAAAAAAAGCAGAGACGTTTAGTGGCAACAATTCAGAAAAAAATGACTTGTTAAGGACTGTTTGCGTTATGAATCACAGTGTGTTTTTTATTTCTGTCTTAGTCTCACTTCCCTCCATTATGTAGCCAAACTAACAGACTTCAAAAACTGAAAAAAGGGTTACATTTAAATTAGAAGCTGATAAATGGAGTTTGTTTTTTGGTTTCAATCTAATTTTGCTTCAAGTGGAATTGACCATCAGCAAAGCTAGAAGTTATGTTTTTTTATTAAAATAATTTGAAGACGGTGGTGAGCTCTTGAGAGCAAAGTCCCGCAACCTTATCTGTGCTGAGAGCTGTTGTACAAAAAGCATGGCCTTTGAGTCATAACTGCACACTGCAGATTGTCTAGTGGGTCTTGATTGTTTCTTCTGACATTTCTGTGCTGAGGTCTGGAGTCGGATCTGTTTCAGCTAGTAAGTGTGGCCTTACTGTGGTGCTGTGGTGCACTAAGACAAGCCACAGGAAGCAAATGGGGGGGGGGAATATATTTCTTAGGCAGAGATTCTGGTTAGAATGGCAGGTGATTTCCCAGTAGCTGAGGTGAACTTGCTGACAAGCACTTAGGATAAATATAGTATATAGCTTTTGATTTAACCTCATTTGTTTCCTCAGTTCAGTATTTAAGACAGAACTTAAAATTTGATTTAAACAAAAATAAAATGTGTAATATTCAAAACCAACCTTTACTTTACTTGTGTGGGGGGATTAAACGGATCTAACACATCTAACATGTATAGCAATGTAAAGACCTAGTCATCCACTATGATTTCTGAGGTGTGGCGTGCTTTGTCTGTATTGTAGTTATTAAGAAGTGATTAAGCTTCCCATCCAGTTTTGTGCCAAAGAACACTTCGTGGCTGTAACGTTATGACTCGGGGAATGTTGCCAAGTCTGCAAAAACTGGATTTCTTGTTGTAACATGACAAATGTGTAGGGTGATCTTATAAGAGTATAGTTCATAGTCAAGAGACAGCTGCGCACAAAATGGGTACAGACATGACCTGTTGATAGGTGTCAAACTACAGACGAATCGGGCAGAATTGAGAAGCTACATCTAGATATTTTTTGTACTGAAAACCACAGCCAACACTCTAGCTTGTGAGTTTTTTCCTGCAGCAATTAAAATGTTAAAATCAAATCCCCATGTCTAACCGTATCAGTTTGAGGCTAGGTGAGGTCTGCACAGATCTGATTTTCCTGTACCAGTACGGATGGAATAAGACTCCCGTTGCCCATGAAGCTTCGACCATCACGACCATCATGCCTTTTATTCCTGAAAGAGTGATATTTTGACTGCTCGCCTGGCCTGGCAGAAAGATTTAAAATAAGGTAACAAGCATTAAATAGCCTGCCCTTGCGTTTGCCGTCTGAACAGGGGCCTGGAGCCTGTCCTGGGTCACCCCGGGCTCAGGGGGTACACCTGGGTGGGGTGCCAGTCCATCACAGGGCCCTCACAGACAGACATTCACACAGGAGCTGAATGAACTTACTGGTATGTCTTTGGACGAAGGAAGGAAACCCAGGCAAGCATGGGGAGAACGTACAAACTCCTCACAGATAGCACCCCAGGAGCAGGACCGGGGGCCCCAGCGCTGCACCGCGGTGCTGCCCCCCGACTTCTGGGCTTGTGGCATCTGGTCTCCCTGACCTGCGGTGTGGTGGGGCTGCAGCTCGTCACCCTGGTGGTCCAGCCCTCCCGCGGTGGGTCAGGTGGGTCCCTCCCTGCAGGGGAAATACTTTCAGATGAAAGGATATGCAGGCAGATATTACCAGAGCACTTGAAATGCGGTGAGAAGTTCCCTGGCGCCTGTGTTTTTGTCAAACCCGGCAGTGAAGGCTTGGAACGGCTGTGTTCCGCAGCTGGCCCTTTGATCTCTTTCTCTATCGCTTTCTCTCTGCCGAATCAGGGTGAAGGTTTACATCTCCGTCTTCAGCTGTTTCCTGTGGTTTTTCTTGCTGTCAAAAGGCAGTGAGGTTTTGCAGTTCTTGCGTAGTTTTGACGTAGGAACAATAAAACGTTGTAAACGAAAACATCACATGCAGGTACCACAGCGTGCATCTGCTGATAAGGGCCTTTTCAACCTAAAAACCACATTAGCAATTAGATGTATAACTGTAACCAAATGTGTGCACCCTGGAATTACAATATGTAAAATTGTGTTGTTAAAAATTGATGACTTGCTTTCTTTCTCAATATAACATTGTGTTGTTAATCATGTATTATAAATGAACAAGTAATAGGTTTATTCCATGCTGAAAAAAAAGGAGAGAGAGAACACAACGTTTCACACCTGAAGAAGGCTCCACGGCCGAAACGTTGTGTTCTTTCTTCTTTTTTTCAGCATGGAATACACCTATTACTTGTTCCTTTGCAGCCTACGCATGCTGACGCAGCTACCCACCTGAACTATGTATTATAAATTATAAGCATTATTTAAAAAATATCTACTCTGCTTTTATAGCAGTCACTAATCCCATCTCCCTCTCACTTCTTATCAGTCTTACAATATGGTACAGCCTATATGATGTTCTTTTTAAAAAAAACAATTAGACTACAAACCTCAACATATGAGTTCTTTCTTAGACTTATTTTACACTTTTATTTTTCAGAGCACAAAGTGATCATCGTGGGTTTGGATAATGCAGGGAAGACTACTATATTGTATCAGTTGTGAGTATCGGAGATTGCATCGTAATCCTGTGCAAGAAGCATTTGTATTCTGTATAAGCCAAGCACATGTGAATTACCTGGGTCTTACAGGTCACATGTTCCTAAGCCTAGGAACACCTGTAAGCTGCTGATGAATTCATCTGCATGCCTCTGTTCAATTAAGAGGATTCTGGCCCTTGAGAGATGAAGACGTTTCTGGTCCCAAATGGTGGTTAAATTCTGTACTTTAGTGCGTGACATTGTTAACAGATAACAGTGTGAGTGGCCCAAGTCTTTAGAAATTGGTTTAATTAAGACCTGTAAAACCTGCTGTATTCGGACCCCCCTAGACTAGTGTCAGTGTTTGATCATTCATCCTTTGCAGTCTGTGGTCACAAGAGGGTGAAGACATTTTTAGTTTTCTGTGATTGTAGTTACTGTTAAGTATTACTGTTACTTCTATTACTCTAGTACTTTTTCTTTAAAAAGATAAAGTGTGTAAAACTGAGGGCATTTACTTGAAATGTCTCCATTGTGTTTCCTCCAGCTGAATGATCTTTGATTTGGATGGATGGCCTTTTTCTTTCAGTTAACTACCTTAAGACTATATCAACATTAAAGTCTCTGAGACTATTTTAAGATTTTAAGACGTAAGTTAAGGTTTTGCAGTTAATCAAGTAACCCTTTTTTTCCCCCCTCTCCTCTCGTCTGCAGTTCGATGAATGAAGTTGTCCACACCTCTCCAACGATAGGCAGCAATGTTGAAGAAATTGTAGTCAACAATACACACTTCCTCATGTGGGATATCGGCGGGCAGGAGTCTCTTCGCTCCTCCTGGAACACTTACTATACAAACACAGAGGTCAGGGAGAGCTCTTGTTTCCATAGAGTATGATTTAAAGATGCTGAAAGAATCCTTCCTTTGCAGTTTGTGTATCGGAGCAGTAGATCATTTCATGTATGTGCCTTGTTAGTGAACAAAAATGACAGTTTGCCTAAAGCACAGGTGTGGAGGCATGACTTGATGAGCAAGGTACATGCTGGAGGAACAGTGTTGTATGCAGTGATAACTCATGCATTAAAATCTAGACACTGTCATTTTATGTTTCTTTATTTCCTTATTTTACAATTTGCAAAATGTTGGTAAATAACAGAGGAGAAATTCAATAACATAAGAAGCTTCAAGCGTTTGTATAGCACTGTGTGTTATGCATAGGAGGGGAACCCATTTCATCCACCACTGAGTCCACACAAAATTGGGACACACCAGTTTACTTAGCTATCAGGACATGGAAGGTGGGAGGAGCTCAGAACACCTGGTGTAAACCTTCATGCAAACTCTGAAGTAGCTTAACAAGTTAAATTAGTGCAATGAGTTTGTAGCCTTTTTTTCTGCACACCACTTAAAACCTGTTATTGACAGTCATTGCTGTCAATGTGCTGTTGTTTGAAGAATGTGTTTAATAGTTTATAGCACTAACATTTAACTTTGGTGTTGGCTGCTTCCTTTGAGCTGCCGTCAACATCTCGACAAGCTGTGCACTTGAAAGATGACAGTGATGTGAAAGAATTAGTGTTCCTCTATATCCTGGGGTTTGGGGTAGCAGCTTGCAGATGGCCTATGAACACCAGATGTTTATAGAGTTGCCTAACTTAATTCTGCCTGGAGTCGTATCTCAGGGAATTCCAATGTAATGAACGTACCAGGTCCTTGGTTAAGCATGTTTTCATCTCAGTAGCTCTTGCAATCTGTGCTTCCTGGTACATCTCTGGCCTTCCATTGAAAAATGCCAAATTTGTACAAATATCAGCACAATACAGACTTCCATTTTGTACTAATATCAGCATGCCTTATCAGATCAGCTAACAAAGCCATAACCCACTGTCAGAGGCCTGTGAACATAAATCTGAGGAGGAGTATTTAAATGCATTGAAAAACACGTTTATTGTTCCATTTTTCATCCTTTTATTTGCAGTTTGTGATAGTCGTTGTGGATAGCACAGACAGAGAGAGGATTTCTG